CCCCCCCCCCCCCTCTCCAACCCCTCTACCCCAGTCTCTTCCACTCCCCGGGCCTTCTCTGCACTATTGTGTGCCCACGACTGTGCATATATGCATATAAGTTCATTGGTTAATCTCTTCCTGTTCACACTCCCCCCGCCCCCCGCAACTTCCCTCTGAAATAGTCTATTGCATGCTTCAATGTTTCTGGAGCTTTTTTTGTTCATCTGTTTATTTTGTTCATTAGATTCCACATATAAGTGAGATCATGTGAAACTTATCTTTCTCTGGCTTATTTGGCTTAGCATAATACTCTCCAGGTCCCTCCATGCTGTCTCAGAGGGTAAGAGATCCTGTGTTATTTACAATAGCTAAGTTCTGGAAACAGCCCAAGTGCTCATCAGTGGATTAAACAACTGTGGTACTTTTACACAGTGGTATACTATGCAGCTGTAAAAAAAGGATCTGAATTACAAATCTTAATCAACATTTCTTGACTCCTAATTTTCTAGATATGCTTTTAAAAACATCTTTATTTACATTCCATAAAATCCACTCTTAGAGTTCAATTCAATGATTTTCAGTAAATTTAAGACCAAATGCACTAGAGGATGGAAGATTCTTGCTAAAAGGACTAAGCAGGGTTCTTGCTGAAACTGGATTTTATAAGGAAATGCACTTATGCACCTAGAAGGTTCAGGAGTCTGACTAGTTTTGTCAAGAAAAGAATCTTTTTAGTAGTTACATGGGTGTTTTCTTATAATTATTATTTTAAAAAATATCTTTGTTTCAGAGAGGAGAGGGAGAGGGAGAGAGAGATAGAAACATCAGTGATGAGAGAGAATCATTGATTGGCTGCCTCCTGCAAGCCCCACAATCGGGATCGAGCCTGCAACCCAGGCAAGTGCCCTGACCATGACCTTCTGGTTTATAAGTCGACTCTCAACCACTGAGCCATGCCAGCCGGGCTTCTTATAATTATTTTTAAGCTGCAGACACATGTTTGTGTACATAAGACACAACACAATTTCTCACAGACTATTTAACTGTAAGGTGGGTGGAAGGGAACTATTTGGTAAAGGAATCTGTAAAATATTATATCATGGTTCAGTGTTAGATTTCAAGTTCCTTTTTAATTCTCTTAATCACATTTCAAAGTGATTTTCATTCAGTCAGTCGTCATTTCTTTAATATTTATTGAGCCTTTCTAGTTGGAGGTACTTTATTAAATAGAAGAAGAGCATGG